CATTTGAATATTTGTGTATTGTGTATATATTTTATCAGAATTTTACTTGCTTAAAATATCTTTCAGGGGGGTGCCTGTGGTAATCCAGCGCTTAATTTGGGGGGAGGCAAAAGTACAAAATTGGCTAAACACAGTGTAAACAATGGGGATCTAAGGTAATTAGGGGGGGAAATGCCCCTCCCCCCTCACTCATGGATCCGCCACTGCTTCTGCATACCCTGAACAAGAGGGCTGCGCACGCCTATGAATATATCAGGAGCTTTGCATTAAATTTTAAAGCTTTTTTACCCAACAAATAAAATTTTATTGATATTTATAGAAAAAAAAAACTAAAAAAATTAAAAACTAAAAATGTCCGTAAACAGCTCAAAAAGATTCAAATATTTTCAAAATTAAAGGGTGTATAGGAAATGCTAATATAAACATTCAGTAAAATTTTCAAGTATCTACAGTCATTTGTTTTTTAATTACAACAAAATTAGAAAATCTTTACATGAGAAATCGAGTGAATATCAAATGTTGTAAAAATATGAATTTCAAAGAGTCATAAAAATTTAATTTGAGTTTCTTGTAGACATTTTTTTTTTGATAAACTTAGACAAACTTATGGGGAATCTTGTATTAGATTTTTATATCTTAGATTTAAAAAGAACATTTTTTATGAATTTCTAACTCAAAATAATTTACAAATTTTCGTCATTTTTACGTATTTTGTCAATATTTGAACTTAAATGCTTATAACAAAAAACTGTGACTTAGGATTTTTTATATTTTTCATCGGTCTTTGAAACAATATATCAGGAGCCTTCTATTAAATTGCTAAGCTTTTGTACAAAACAAATAAAATTTTATTGATATTTATAGAAAAAAAAGGTGGGCAAGTGGGTGTCGCTATAATAATATCACAATATCCATTGACCATTAGGTACTTATAAGAGTTATACATCAACAAAAACCGTGATACTATCATAGATATATAATAATACACTTAAGAAGTTTCAAGTACCCACGAATAATATTATTCAATCACAACAAAAAAACTAAAATAGTTATTCTAGGCTTTTTAATATGTAATTTCGTCTAAATTTGAATTTAAAATGTCTGTAAAAAATAAGGGTGTTCATATATTTTTTGGAATTTTTGGTTACAGTATGAACTGTTTATAAGAACCTTTGTTTTAAATTTTCAATCCTTAGCTATAAAAACTGAACATTTTATAATTTAATATTTATTAATTACGATGATTGATAATTTTCGAGATTTTGATAAATTTTGTCAAAATGCGATCTTTAAATGCGTACAGGGGCGGACTGGCAGATCGGGAGATCGGGAAATTTCCCGATGGGCCGGTCGAATAATGGGATTATAGGCCGTCTCGGGCGGGGCAGTTTGATTGTACAAATAACTAACTTATATTATGATTTTTAAATTTTAATGATATAGTATTCAGTGTTTGGTGTATTTAAAATCTATAAAATATAACATAAATAATACGATAATAATCATACCAAAAATTATATTTTGTTGTTCTAAGACACAGTTATAAAAATAATTTTAGTTTATATAAATAGAAATAATAGCCAATAACGCATCCGGCAACCATTTGGGTGTGTATCAGTGTATCACTATTTGTTTGTATACGATAATTCAATATAATATTATTTAAAAATAATATATACTGTTTTCGTATTTCGTTCATGAGTCTGTCGTCTGTAATATTGTAATAACTAATAATAGTTAATTTATATTTTGCATTGACTACTGGAAAGAAGCACGTACCTTTTGAATATTTACGATCCCGATATCGCCTTTTAAAAGGTAAGATAAATATAGAAGATAATACTATTTTAGACAATTTTGTAAAATTTGGTTTGCGCGGCAAATGGCAATACAATGTGAGTCGTGAACTATTTTACTAAATTATAATTAATAATATATTAATATAATAATATGTATGGAACAACAACATATTTAAATAATAAAATAAATATGAATTAATTTATTGAATTTTTAATTGTTTTTTATACTATAAAAATGATTGAAATTGTCTTCTCGGAACAGCATGACACGGAATAATCTAGAAGCTTTTGTCTTAATGGCTACAGAAAAAAATATTTTAATTTACATACAGCACCAAACGGTTATAGACCGTTTAGCCTAAAAAAGCAAAACATTTCATAAATTATTAATTCCTTAAGCCAATAAATTAAATATATTACCTAAAACGCATGATATATCTGCTTTTTTTTTTTAAATTTTGAATATGCAATGGAAAAAATGTGTCGTATTTTAAACATAAATGTTATAATTAGGTTAGACAATAGTTTTTGGGCCACTTTAAAAAAAATCGAGTGAACATCCAACGTTGTAAAAATTTGAATTTCAAACGCTCATAAAAATTTAATTTGAATTTCTTATAGAATTTTTTTTTTGATAAATGTAAGAAATCTTATAAGGAATCTTGTATTACATTTTCATATCTTAGATTTAAAAAGAAAAATTTTTATGAATTTCTAACTCGAAATAATTTGCAAATTTTCGTGATTTTTCCATAATTTGTCATTTTTTGAACTTTAAATGCTTAAAAAAAAAACTGTGACCAACGATTTTTAATATTTTTCATCTGTCTTTGAAACAATATATTAGGAGCCTTCTATTAAATTTTCAAGCTTTCGCAACCAACAAATAAAATTTTATTGATATTTCTAGAAAAAAAACTAACAAAAAATGAAAAATGAAAATGTCCCTAAACTGTTCAAAATAAATCAAAATTTTTTGAAAATTTTATCGTGTATAGAAAATGCAAATATAAACAACCATTGAAAATTTCATGTATCTACGGTCATTTGTTTTAAAGTTACACCAAAAACCAAAATCGATTTTCTCGAAAACAGATTCCCGTTTTTCCTTAATTTTTCTTTTGTTTTTCCCGGCGCTTTTGAAAACTACTGGGAAATTTAAATTTTGACCTCCCCAATGCACCAACGATATTCACTCTCCAATCGAACAAGATACTGAAGTTGAAAATCGAAGCATTATTTCGACTACTTATCGTGTATATAGACACAAAAAAAATTAAAAAATTAAAAAAAAAAACACACATCATTGTAAAATCAATACATTCATCGTTCCACTCAGAATCTAAAAAACGAAAAAAAATGGAAACTGAAAATGTCTGTAAAGAGCTCAAAATAACGCAAAATATTTGGAAAATTTTATCATGTGTAGAAAATGGAAATATAAACAACCAGTGAAATGTTCATGTATATGTTCATTTGTTTTAGAGTAACAACAAAAACCAGAATCGATTTTGTGTATCATTCCCGTTTTTCCTTAATTTTTCTTTTGTTTTTCACGGCTCTTTAGAAAACTACTGGAAAAAAATTTACTTTTGACCCCCCCAAAGTACCAACTAATATAAATTGTTCAGCAAACTCATTTGTTTTAACTTCCTTTATTAGTTAAAGTTATTACGCCATTATGTAATTATACATTTAATTAGTAAAAGTAATTATTAATAATATTTGTATATTGATATTTTATAGTAGTGATAAATAGATGATAAGTTTATTTTCTATGCAAATAATATGATAATAGGTACATTTTTATTTTTTCATTGATTGTTTTGATTTTATTTACATACCTAATGTACAATAATTGTTTGATTTAAAATCGATGGAGAAAATTATCTTTATAAAATTTCTTTTATTTACATTATACTTTGACTACATAAATTATTATTGCCAGAAATTATAAAACCAGTATTAAATGGATGACTGCGGTAAAATAACTACTCTTTATTATTATTGTGTCGAAATTGTAATTTTTTCAAAACAGTCGTAATTAAAGTTTTATTTACGACTTAGGAAATGAGAAAATGATCTGACTTATATATATTTATATCTGTGTATTTTTATAGCACGTTCAAATAATTTATTTGATCGGTAATTGTCAATGTACCTACCTACCTATAGTGTAAAATGCCAATAGTTGAAAATTTAAAAAAATCGTAAGCAAAATTTGGTGAGAATATGTTTATGATTCACGGAAATATTATAGTATAGGTTATTCTATTTTTAATATATAATTTAATGTGTAATTTAAATTTGTTTTTATAGAAATAAATTTAATAAATACTTTTTTGATTTTGTTGGCTATTGAAATGCTTTTTTAAGCATTTATTAATTATTTTGCTACAAAATCAGAGCCCAACTGATAACTAATGGCTTGTTGTTCAAAATATAATAATATATACCTACAGACATACAATTGGTAGGTACCTAACAAATAAGAATAACAATAAGTAATGACTATTATATTGTAATTATTAATGAATAATAACTAATTATAGCCTTTATAGGTACTTAATTATTATAATCATTGATTATAAATATTATAGGTAATGTTTTATGTGTATAAATATAAATATTATTATGAATGATATTATAATAGTATATTTAATTTGTTATAAATATTATATACAATGGTATCATATATAGGTAAACTTTAAGCTTGGGGCTTGGGTAGTGCAATCAGAATTATATATAAATATAAAGGGATATAGGAAACTTTCGTACTACCTATATCAAATTTTTCAGAAAAAAAAAGAATTTTAATCTATTAAAGTAAGTAAAATAACTAAAAAAGTATTATACCTATTACCTTAATATTAAGCTAATATTTCTGTCATGTTACGATTACGCATACGCAGAAGTTCGCGTAATCCTTCCCATCGTTATCACCCACAGCGTTATCACTCCGTCGGTGTATCGTCGTCGAAGTGCCGAACTGCCCGAACCACCACCCGCATCAGTTACGACTTACGACTGACGAGTGACGAGTGACGACAGTCTATACTCTGGGCTGATATCAACGATACGTTCACTCGTTAATTATCAGTTAGTAGTTACTGCTGAGTACTGGTTACTTCGTTCGGAGACCACCAACACAGGAACTCTCTACTGAACGAGAATCGGCGGAAATCACTTTATTTTTCAACGATGAACTATTTTCCTATTACTTTCGTGCTGATGGCGGTCACCGAGACGCTGCTAGCAGCTGTCATGTCCGGTGTCAATCACATGACGGACGGACAAGAAATCGAAGAAAACCTAATAATTTCCAGGCGCAGGGCGATATCTGAACATGACCACCGGACCGACTCTGCGTACGCAGGCATCTTGGGTAAGCTGCACTCTACTTGTTCTCTATTATCCATTACACATATTTTTACTATACATAAATGCATAATATTTTATAATATATACCTATTACAGCTAAGAACAAAAAAACGAAAGTCCTGATATTTAGTTATCTGTCTAAAATACATTGACGTAGACAAGATTTGTATTATTCACTTTACTAATAATATTGTTGATGACTAGTCAATGTTTAATAAATTAAATAAACATACAGTGGCTACCTACTTCCTATGTTCTTACTTGACATTTCTATTAAAAAAACTATTGGTATGATGATAATTTGCATCAACATTATATGATCTTCAAAATTCTAAACTTCTGGAATCACTCAATCATGACCCCACTCTATCTTCACTACTACCAAATTTATTGTAGCCTTTAATATACCGAACAAAATTCAATATCCCACTGATGTGTTTGTTATCCTTTAATCCTTTATTTTTTAATAAATATTATATATATTCCATATCACAATGACTAGTGTAGCTAGGTTATCTAAAATTTATAAAAAATAATAATATTATGTTCATCAGTTATGAAATTGTATTAATTACATTTTGTACTTTTCTTTAAGGTGACGAAGAAGAATTGGATGAAATAAAACATTTAGAACCATCTGAAATAAAACCACGTATGACCACTATACTCAAAACTATGGATATAAATGAGAATGGCTTAATTGAAAAAAATGAACTGTTAGAAAAATTATTGGATTCTTATCGGTAATTATGAATGTAGTATTTAATTATTTGTATAAAGATGATTTAATCTTACACATCGATATTCATAGATGGCAAATTTGTTATAAACTAATGATCGTCTTTTACCTTTAACTAAATGTTTTATAATATGAATACCATATATTATGAACTTTCTATCAGGTATATGATACTTTTGCCTACTTTTCAAATTATAGTTAATGATAGTTTTATATATATATATATTTTTTTTCAATTAATTTACAGGTAAATACTACAAAAAAAAATAATTAATATTAATACAAAACCAGTCAGTTACCTACTATTCCGAAATTATAGTTGAAATCATATTGATTATGTTTCATCATTACATTTTTTTTTAATATTAGAGTTGTTAACATGTTTTAATTGATATCACCAATCTATTATTTTATTTTTACAAAGTTATGAGTTATACCAATTTTATTATTATTAGAGATATTTTACTTATTATTACTATTTGACACAAAAGTTCTGTTTAACAATCATATTTTAAAATTATTCATACTATTTATATATATAGAATCATTTTTGTTAACTACATGTACTTTTAAATTCACAGGTTTGAAGTATTCATTGTTAAGTTGTGAAATACGTCAGATGTTACATAGTGTTCTTAATTGTATAATTGTTTATGTATACATGTGTTATTTTACCATAATTACGTAGTTATATAATTTAAATTATGTATAATTGAATAGCATAAACATATGAAAACAACACAATTCATGGACATATTTTTGCTAAATATATTTTACCCATCTATGTTCAGGTTTTTCATATTTTAATTTTATAAGAGTTATTCAAAATATTCAACAATCTGTAACAAATAATATTTTGAATTTTCAATTTGATAATATCTCAATTACCCATTAATATAATATTATAACTAAACAAAAATGGTTACTGTAGTGTACTTATAATATAATAAATCACGATAGATGAACAAAACACGTTATTAAAACAACAAATAAGTACTTATAATTTATACAACACAAAAGCCTCAATAATAATATGTCTTTAATATTGAGACTTTATAATATCCTCAATTATGATGTTAATAAATATCTTATCATTTATTTAAAATGCTCGTAAATAAAAGATTGAAGTATTAAAATATATAGAATAGGTTAATTCTAGTTTAATAGTTTTATTATAAATATTATATTTAATGATTTCTGTACAAAAATGTACTAAAATATTCAAAGTAAAACTGTAAAACAAACAATTAATAAAAATATTTATTCTATACTCCGGCCCACGAGAGTCTATACGTAAACCGCGCATCGACATAGTAATACGCGACGTCTGTTTTCTCCCACCATGATGTCATTCCCACTATTCGGCAACATGCAGATGCGCAGCGTCGGACGAGTTTTAACGGACGTTATCTCGTGGGCCGGAGTATAGTTCTATTTACTTTGTATTTTACGTAATCAACATTTTATTCAAAACCAAAAGTATGTACATTTCATCCAAAATATATTTTTTTTAGGAAATTATCAGCTGAAGAATCTGATGCAGAATTTCTAACTAGTGATCTTGATGAAAACGGCTATATTACATGGAAGGAATATGTTGGTGATACTTATGGTTCAAGTGAACATTTTGATGATGAAGTAATTGTTTTACAAATAATTGAATAAAGAAACCATGGGATACATTGTCATGGAATACATTCAATTTACCATAAAAAACATACATTTATTTAGTTCTGAGTAAAATATAAAATTTATTATTTTAATGATCGTTATTATTTTTACAGAGTAATAAAAACATTTATATCATAAAACCAATATCCTACTATAAAATGTCATACTTCAATTTTGATAAAAATCTGTAATTTAAAAATGGATCAGTTTACCTGAACCTTTGCTAATTATTTATAAAGCAATACATCAAACTTGTAATAATAATGTTTTTGAGCAAAATAGATATTAGTGTGTCCACCCAGTCTTCATACTTTCTAATAAACCTTAAATTAAAAAAACCGCATAAATATTTGATTTGATTTTGAAAGTATTTATAATTTGTGATTTTTATTTAGATGACAGAAGATGAAAAACAACTATTTTTGGCCGCTGATGTTGATAAGGATGGTCATTTAAATAAAGAAGAATTTCGTTATTTTTATACCCCTGAAGATTACCCACACATGCAACCTGTAGTATTGCATGGTGTAATGAATCGATTTGACACTGATAAAAACGGAAAAATTACATTTGATGAGTTCATAGGAGATAGAAGTAAGATAATTTAACTTTATATTGTTTAATTTTTTGTTAATCAAACACAAATGTAAATGTCTTTCTATAAAAATTGTTTAAATACATTTTAGGAACAGAACACACGGAAGAATGGCTTCAGGAAGAAAAAACTAAGTTTATTGAAGAACTCGATGTTAATAAAGATGGAGTATTAGATGAAGAGGAAGTGCATGATTGGGCATCACCAAATAATAAGTGAGAATTTTAATACTACTATGGCTTTATACCTCAACCATTTTATAACTTCATATAAATATATATTTTCATGTACCACATTAGCACATTTTTTCAATACATTATATATATAAATGTTAGTTATATTTAAAAAAAAATCTTTGAAATTAAAATAAAATTTTTAAACATTTAATTAAATTTGAATTAGAACATCAAATAAAATTGTAGTATGAAATGGATAAATATAAATAATACTTATAGTACATATAATTTTACAGCATGATTGCAGAAAGTGAAGCAGAAAATTTAATTTTGAAAGCAGACAAGAACCAAGATGGTGTACTAAGCTTTGATGAAGTATTGGACAATTATCATACATTCATTTCGCCAGAAAGTGAAGGGTATTACATATTTAGAGATGAATTATAAAAAAAATACTATCCCTAATGATCTTAGATATTTATTTTATGAAATTTATATTATTATTATTTGAATTTGTGAAAGTGTGTTTTTAACCAATTTGTTCGTATAATTTATCTGTAAGTTGCTTACTTTGAAACAGTTATTCAATACAATGAAACCAAAAAAAAAAACAAAAAATTCAATAATGTCCAATAAATTCAACTGTGTATTAAGTTGTTAACTCATATTACTGATCAATTTGTATGGTACTAATATGTATTTACATTTATACCACATCTATTATATAATATACAAGGTAATATTTTCAATAAAAGACATCCATAATTCGTCAAACATTGTTTTCAAAGAATAATTATTTTATTGTTTAAAGTTTATAATATAATCAAAGTTTAGCAATATACTAGATAATAATATGTATTATCTAAATTCTCGGTAAATTTAATTTTTTTTTTCAAACCATTTTATAAATTTCAATATATTAATTTTATAATAAAAGTAGCCCAATAATGCTATAGGTATATATCATTATTTAAATAAATTATTTCCTTAAGTTATTCAAAAGTAATTTCTGATAATTTACAATTGTGTACTACATGTACTTTCAGTAATGTAACATAATTACGATTTGCATATTTTTATTTAAATTTATATGCATTAAAATAATATTGTGAAGCAATAAACATAATGAATTATAAAAATCACAAACATTAATTAAGAATATGGGTGTCTAAAATATCAAATAAAAATTATTTATTAATTTATTGCAATAACTGGAATAAAAAAAAAATATTATACATTTCTAGTTGATATTTGTATAAATTATATACTATTGAACTTAATAATAGTATAATATGATTGTATAATAGCCATATAAGAATTAACTTCCTTGTCTTTAATTTCATTTTAAATAGTTCCATTATTTATTTTGTACATTGATTTCTTTACCTTCTAAAATATAAACATACATTTTGATGCCTTACTATTTATATTGTTCCTTAAATAATTAAAAATGAGCATTTTAAATGACTGATTAAATATTTTTAAATAATAATTATTATTAATACCGGCTTATGGCATTTAGCCAGTATATGTTTATGAGTTATGATATATATTTTAATATTTTATTTAATGAACTTTATTTTGGTAATTCATTATAATTTGTAATTGTATAATTCATGATTATCTAAAATTATTAAATTTATATAATTTATATTTTATGTTCCTTTTTGAGAAATTTAATTTCATCATTGCCTAATCGAGTCAAAATAGAAATAAGTATATTATTTTAAGTCTATTTTTGGTCTTAGTCAATGTATTAATAAACATTATGCTACATTAATAATCAAAATATTTGTTAAATGTTATGTACTGTCCTTATGTCAACCCTTAATTTGTGTTGGTATTTTAAAACAAGTAATTAAAAAATGTTATAACGTCTTATAACAAATACAATTATTTATTCTGTTTACATTTTAATAACTGGTTAATCGAAAACTATTTAACATAGAAATTATTTTTTATTGTGCTTCCCTGTGTTTTTTTTTTTTTGTGAATGTATTATCTTATCATCATAGATCATTAATATCATTAATTATTTATTTTACTTAAACTTTGCAGTATTGTGTTTTATTTTGCTTAAGACTATGTTATTATTGTACTTTGGAAAATATACCATTAATTGTGTTTCTAATCTGTTCAAATTCATAAAACATGTATACAAATAAACAATATGATTGCATTTTTTTTCTCATCATTTAAATGTATTTTAAACAAGTACATTTTTTTATCTTAGCTTATGAATATTTTTAGTTACTAAATAGTTTTGAAACTAGTTAGGTGTTAAGTTTTATGTTATTTTTAAATTCAATTTTTTTTTTTTCTTTAATCGTTAAATTAATTGATTACAGTATTATTTTCAATTAGTAGCATAATAAAAATTATTTTAGACTTAGGTGGTTAAAATAGAAAAAATATAAGTTTATTTTTTTTTTTTCATTATATTAAAGTGTATCAAAAATTTTGATTGAACACGATTAATTAATATTTGATATTTAATAAGTAATACCCAATGATAAAAGAAAAATCAATTATAATCAATATAATAATAATCCCTTACAAACACATTTTTTTCATCAAAATAACCTTTGCACTTGACAAAAAAGTATGTATATCTTGTAAATTAAAATACCATATAATAATCTGGTTTCTGTAATCCAATTCACGGTATTAACGAGTAATAAGTTAGAATTTAAGTTAATTTTAACTTATTAATTTAACTTACTAGTTCGGTGTTTTAATTAACTCAAAATTAACTTTTTTCTCTATATTTACTTAGAATCAACTTGTATTTTTTTCACAGTTAAGTTAATTTTAAATTTTTGGATTATCCAGAGAAATATTTTGATTATTACGGGTTTTCGGTTAATATTAATTATTATAGAATATAGAATATAGAAAATATTATCAGAAAAAAATAAGATATATTTACAAAGAACTTAGTATTTATATTTAAAGATAAAAACTAATATATTGTATTAATTAGGGACTTATAAATATTAATATAAGGGTAACATTATTCTCTGGTATGAAGACATCATTGAACACAACGAAACAAATTATATTTATAATGTATATTACCTATTCATTAGGTACTCATTAGTTATTAATTATTTTTTATTAGTAGATTAATGACTACCATAGATTGTTTGAATAGTAATATACCTATGATTTATGAATGATGATTACTATTCAAGTGATTATCACTTATTTTATTAAATATTACCTCATAAATTCATTTTTTTTTATTATTAACTTAACTTCTTAATAGTTAAGTTAATGGTATTTGTCAACTTAACTTTAAGCTTAAATGGTGTATTGAAAATGTTTATTGACTGAATTTTTAATTTAACTGTAAAAATAAGAGTAGGTAGTTCGGTTTCTAATTAAATTTAAATACCTATATAGGTAACATTAATAATTCACTTTATTAGTTAGTTAATAGTTAATACAATTAGTGTCAACTAGGTACGTACTACATACTTAAAAAAGATGTTCTGCTGTACAGTAGGTCACACGTGGGTCACTGTATAATGGATGGTATTAAATTTGATTTCAATGATAATATAATAGGTATAATTGTATAAGAAAAACAATGCTGATCAAAAACGGTCAGTCAGCCTATGATATTACTAAGTATATTTGATGATATTATTGTGAATAGAGTAATTTATATACTTGCCTATTTACGTGGACAATTGTTTTAAATTTTTAATCCTTTAGCTATAAAAGTTGAACTTTTTATACATTTTTAACTACAAAATAATTATTACATTTCAAATATGATACATTTTGTCAAAATTAGAACTTTAAATGCTTATAAAAAAAAATGTGGCCTTTAGTGGCCTATGATTATTCCTTTCAATTTTAGTACCTAACTATTAAATTAATATGCACCCTAGATGGCATAAGTATACTTGTCAGGTTGTATGACAATTAATGTATTCATTTGGTAAATAATAAATGGTTCAATCAAATTTAATGAACATGATTAAATGGACTACTAAATCATGTTAGGGGCCATTAGTTCAGGACTGATTTGTTAATATTGTAAAGTGATTGTTCTTGCAACCAGTGACTTTTGTATGGGGGGGGGGGGGTGAGGTAATATAGGTATTATATAATTAGGTACACTAGCGTGTCTATAAATATTTAAATTTGAGTTTAAATAATTTTAAGAGCAAACTTATTATTTTTAGGTATACCATGTATTCATGGTGCATTAAATTATTACATGGAAAATATAAAAAATTAAAAAAATGAATATTTATGTACCTACTAAGGTATAATAGTGCGTTATTGACACGTTTATAAGACAATAATTATGAAAATTGCCTATATTGAACTTCTTAAAAACGGTCTGGATTGAATCTTCAAAAGAAGCCATGTGTACGTAATTTTATCCTAATTCCTATTCAAATAAAAATTAAAGGGTACACACTAAGGTAAATTTAAAACTGGACACTAAGTGTCCTTTGGTTAACCAATAACCAACATGGAATTATATGATAATTAATAACAAAGTCCAACAAAAATTATTCTTTTTGAAACTCTATAATATATTAATATTATCGCACAACAAAAAAAAATCAGTTCTTTTTAGTTGTATAGTGCTTTAGTAAATAGTTTTTAGTTGAAGTTTAATTATTGAACTTAGTGTTAATTGAGTTGTATCAAGTTGGTTTTTTTTTTGTTTTAATCATTTAATACGTATAATATTGTTATACGTTATGTCAATATAACGGCGTATACCTACAAATGAAGAAACAATTTCCCAACTACTAAAATTCTGAGCGCGTTTCGTGGAAATGTATTACTCGATATGTACAAAATGATGTTTTGTTCACAAACGGATGTGAACGGATGTCGTATACCTCTATAGGTACACTCGTACGTAGAGCTTAGGATTCATATCTTATATGCATTAATGCATTGGTAAGTATGTTTTTGCCTCATCCTTCTGAAAATTCGGTTTATAATGTCTGTATGTCACTTATATTGATACACATGATCTATTTTTATTTTTCGTTATTGTAAATTTTAAATATTAACACGAAAAGTACAAGTTTTATGACATATTTAAAGTTTAAACGAATGGTAGTGTAAAAGGTTATAATGCCATATAGGTATGCCATGTAATATTACTTATTACGCTGCTAATTTAAATTTCGTAAAATCAGTTATTTTATCTTTGACAAAAAATGTTGTAAAAATATATGGGCAATGTCATGGATTTATTTAAAAGTAATAGTAACAAAGATGATTTATCTTGCATAAAAAGTACTTGTATTAAATTTGTTTTAAAATTATAAAATATTTTCACTACAATAAAATTAAGGTTGTTGAAAGCTGACCGTTTTTAAGGGGTAGGATATAGGCAATATTCTATATTCTTAGTGAGTACTGTGTGAGTGTGTGTACAGTGTCGGCCTGGCACGCCAAACGCCCAT